GTGCTATGATTGTGTAATGTTCCTTTTCATTCCTCGTAATTTTCTTTCCTCTGAAGTCTACCTTACATGCTGTCAACATAACCACTCCAGCTTTCACTTGATTTATACACAGGGTATATTTCCTCCCTTCCTTTTACTTGTTAATTACTTATATCGTTATATATGTGATATGAAGTTCAGACAGTATATAGTTTTACATTTTGAAAATCTCTAAGTTTCTGATTTAGACCATGTATTTCAAGCATTTATTGATGTTTGGATCTAAGTCTATTATTTTATTATTTATTTTCTGAATGTACCATTTCTTTCCCCTTTCCTGTCTTTTTAATTACTTGAACACTTTTTAGTATTCCATTTTAGTTTATTTTCCTTTGGACTATATCCCTTAGTGTAGGTTTATTTTTAGTGGTTTCTCTACTTGGTTATTGTATACATACACTTAATCTACTTAGAATTAGCACTTTAGCACTTTAAGTGGAATGTAGAAGACTTAGCACTATCTAGGTCCCTTGGTGCTCCTCCCCAACTTTTATGTGTTAGTTGTCTTATTTATTATATCTATGCAATTTAAACCACATCAGGCAATATTATAATTTTTGCATTCCATCATAATAAATACTTTAAACAATACATGAAAAGAATATTCTTTGATACAGATATTTATCATTTCTGTTGCTTTGCTTATTTTTTTTAGTACATTTTTTATAATTTATGAACCAACAGTGATACATTATTATTAACTGAGGTCCAGAGTTTACATTTTGTGTTGTGTAGTTATGTGTGTTTGACAGAAGTCCTGCCCTAAGAATCCTCTGTGCCCTACCAAGTCCTCCCTCCCCTTCCCCACCATCCCTGGCAACCACTGACCATTTTGCTTTGTCCAGAATGCCACATAGTTTACCCCCACTGTCCTCGCCCTCAGGCAGGTTGCTTGGACAAAAGCAGGTGCACTCACAGCAGGCAGTACCGTGGGAGAGGGAGGGACTCAGCCCTACACTGGTTTATTTATAAGTGAAGAACAGTAAGATGCAATAGGAGGTCCCCCACAAAGCTTAGCAATGTTTGTGTTTTGGACAAAGGTCTTATTGCTAGAAGAACGTCCAGAACGTCTTATTGCTTAATGACCAGTAGCCAGGGATCATTTAGATACCAGCCACCAAATCAGTTTGAGACTGTAGCCGTGCCGAGCTAGCATGTTACTAGGAATGCTAAGTGGTATGGGAAGGAAGCAACCTTGGCTTTTCGAGAAGCAGATGGTTTATCACTTCTCAAGCCTTTCCAGAGTTCTACTTTTTAATCATGTCTCTATAATTCCTACATTTGGGAAAAGGAAGTTGTATCTTTTTTTT